AATTTTCTCCATAGAACGTCACATACATCTAAGAAAAGTGAGAAATTTGAGCCCAGGCATTAAAAACAATTAATACTGATGTCTATTAGCCCAGAAATAACTATAGTAAAAAATGTAGTGCATTTTATTTTCAGACAGGATCTCACTCTGTCACTCAGGCTGGAGTGCAGTGGCATGATCATGGCTCACTGCAACCTCTGCCTCCTGGGATCAAGTGATCCTCCCACCTCAGCCTTACTAGTATCTGGGACTACAGACACATGCCACCATGCCTGGCTTTTAAAAATTTTTGTTTTTTGTAGAGATAAGGTCTCATCAGTGTTGGCCAGGCTGGTCTCAAACTCTTGGGTTCAAGCAGTCTACTTGCCTTGGCCTCCCAAAGGGGTGGGATTACAGGCACATGAGCCACTGGACCCAGCCTGTAGTGCATTTAAAATTTTTTATTAGACTCGGCCAGGCCTGGTGGCTCAAGCCTGTAATTCCAGCACTTTGGGAGGCTGAGGAGGGCGGATCACAAGGTAAAGAGATTGAGACCATCCTGGCCAACATGGTGAAACCCCGTCTCTACTAAAAATACAGAAATTAGCTGGGCGTGGTGGTGTGCACCTGTAGTTCTGGCTACTTGGGAGGCTGAGGCAGGAGAATCTCTTTAACCTGGGAGGTGGAAGTTGCAGTGAGCCGAAATAGCGCCACTGCACTTCAGCCTGACGACAGAGCGAGACTTTGTCTCAAAAAAAAAAGTTTTCTTTATTAGACTCTTTGGAACTTGGTTTGGTTCATACGATACTTTCCCCCAACATTTTTGTTATGAAAATTTTTAATTTTATAATAAACACATCTATACCTACTGCTTAGAATCTACCATTAGTATTTTACTATTTTTGCTTTATTACTTATCTGTTCATCCATTTATTCTCTTTATGTATCTGCTAATCCATCTTATTTGACATTTTGAAATAAATTGCAGACGTCAGTACACTTCTTTTTAAATACTTAAGAATGGCTGTCATTAACTGGAGTTCAGTATACATGCATTTTTTTGAGACGGGATCTCCCTCTGTTGCCTAGGCTGGAATGCAGTGATGTGATCTCTGCTCACTGCAGCCTCCACCTCCCAGGCTCAAGCAATTTTTCCACCTCGACCTCCTGAGTAGCTGGAACTATAGGCAGCAGCCACCACACCCCACTAAGTTTTGTATTTTTAGTAGAGGCAGGGTTTCGACAGATTGCCCAGGCTGGTCTTGAACACCTGACCTCAAGTGATCTACCTGCTTCAGTCTCCCAAAGTGTTGAGATTACAGGCATGAGCCACCCTGCCTGGCCATTTTTTTCTTTTGAGGCAGAATTTATATACAGTGAAATACACAAATCTTACTATTCAGTGAGCTTTGAAAAATACCTTTGTAACCCAAACTCCTATGAAGACATAGAACACTATCACTTCTGAGAGTTTCTTCATGCCCCATTTCAGTCTGTCTTTCTCACCAACCCCCAGAGACGACCACTGTTCTGAAGGTTTTTTTTTTCCCCTTCCATAAATTAGTTTGCTTTTCTAGAGTTTTATCCAAATGGAACTCTGTCAGTATGCACTCTAAAGCCTTCTTTCAGCAAGTTTATTTCTTTTGATTGCTGAGTAGTATTTCACTGTATGGATGTACTACAGTTTGTTTTCCTATTGACACATAGAACTTAAAAAAAGTAGAGTACATAGGTCTTTCTCTTTGGAGAGTAGCATTAATATGGACATGGTTGTATTGAGACCAACACATGTGTACAACCATTTTACTACTACTCTTACAACAAACATTAAAACAAGGTTGGGCATGGTGGCTCATGCCTATAAACTCAGTGCTTTGAGAGGCTGGGGCGGGAGGATTGCTTGAGCCCAGGAGTTCGAGACCAGCCTGGACAACATGGTGAGACCACCCCATCTTTACAAAAACGACAAAAATAGCTGAGTGTGGTGGTGCATGCCTATAGGCTCAGCTTTTCAGGAGGCTGAGGCAGGATGATTGTTTGAGCCAGGAGGTTGAGGCTGCAGTGAGCCATCACCGTTTCATTGTACTCCAGCCTGGGCAACAGAGTGAAACTATTTCAAAATTAAAAAGAAAATAAATTAAAAAATTAATAGATTTAAAAGTGTTATTGTTAGGTCAGAGGGTTATGAACATTTAAGGTTAATACATACATTGCTAAATTGATTACCAAAAGGTAAGCAGTTTATGTTCTGACAGTACATAGGAATAGTCATGTGCCATTGTCAATTCTTACTTTAAAGGTAGAAATGAGACGAAATGGAGAAGGCGTTGTATCCCTTGGATATACTTGTTTAGAAAAGAACTGAGTTTTTTCAGAGTACATGGAGGTGAGCTCATTTCAGTGTTAGCATTATGTAAGCTGTGACCCTTCCCATTTTCAGCATTGAGACAGCAGGAAGCCAGTCAGGAAATGAGATAGTGTAAAGTTTGGTCATGCATTTTTTGCCACAAAGGGGACTAGGTATTTATAGGGTGTGGTTCTGAGTTTCCGCTCTGATTGGTAAACTCTTTTTTTATTACCCAGCCTGAAGAAAATTCGTGGCAAAGTGTGGAAGCAAAGAATATCTAGCCCTCTGTTCAACACCAAACAATACACAATGGAACTAGAGCGGCTCTATCTACAGATGTGGGAGCATTATGCAGCTGGCAACAAACCTGACCACATGATTAAGCCTGTTGAAGTCACTGAGTCAGCGTAAAGAAAGACTGCACAGGAGAATTACCCCTATACCTGAGCCTCAGCCTTCTGGGGGAAAGGGAACTAGATAACATACTTCTTACTTGTCTGTACAGTACCTTGTTGCAGATGGGTGATATATAATGGTAATAGAATAGCACAGCCAGACTTGCTTCCTGCATGATAGGGAGAGACACAAGAGATAAGAGATGGGAAACTGCTGTTGTTCCACAAGGAATCTCCGTAGAATTTTGCAGCAACCAGATGATGCATAGGTCTGGAAAGTCTGATCTCCCTTGGTCTTCCATGGGATGGTTAGTGTGGAGGGGAGATATAGATTATCCAGCCGCTTTGCAATTCCATGGATTGATTCAATCTTCTGGATGAATTTTTTTCTTTATATTTTGGGTATTGGAACTTTTAAAAATGTTTGGTTTCAGGTATTTTTATTCATGTGAAGTGTATATGATTCTCTTGAGATAAGGTTTTAAGCTAAAATATTACTCCCTGTTTTAGTTTCTGAACTCTGACAGATCGACAGGGACTTTGCTGGTGTAGTCTTTTTATAGGTTTTATAAACCACTTGAGCCTATATCAGTCGTTTTAGTGTCTGACCTAATGTTTGGAGCTATCAGTGCTTTGTTGATTTAGATGATGACTCAAGATATTTTCTGGTCCATTTCCCATTTCCTTCTCTTCCCTGACCCCCACACCCCTACCCTTAAAATTTCTCCTGTAACTCAGCTAACAAAATCAAGTCTGATTCAAAACATCCTAGGGTGTTTCTCTTAAACACACCATCTGGTGCCAAATGAAGACTTTTAGGAGTGATTACTAATTATGAAGGTTACAGTTCTGGTACTGTCATTGATAATAATATAGATTTTTTTTTTTTGACTAATTTTGACCTATTTCACCAGTGTTTTACCCTTGACTGCCCCTTCTATGCTGCTTCCAAAAGTGATAGTGTGTGTTAAGATTTTACCTTCCTTTCTAAATTTTTTTTTAAGTGAGTCCTGTTCTTCCTATTTCTTTCAGCAGAAATGAAATCCCAGGTAAGTATAAGTATTCAAATCAGTAAGTCACAATTATCTCTGGTGCATTAAATAACTTTCATCAAGAAACAGGTTATAGGTAAAATCTCTGAAGGACCATCTGTGTATTCAAGTAACTATTTTTTAGAACTTGTAGGGTATTCTATAATAACTGTCTTCTGGACTTGGTCTTGAAGTCTGTACAGATTCAGCCTCAATAGTAGCAAACTGCACTGGTACTTGGTTTGGAGTACAAATTAGACTTACAGTCCTCCTGGAACTTGAGTTTTTGACATTAAAATCATAGGAATAATATTATGGGATCTTAACAAAGGGTTAAGGGTTTGAGGTTTAAACAGGCCAACATATGAATATATGTTTTGTTTTGCTGTTCTGCACTTATGCTATCCAGTCGCAGATAATTTTTTGTCTGCTAGTAGTACTCTAGATTATGTCTTTCCAAAGTGCTGAAGCTGTGCACCTATTCTGTAGTTGCAGCTGATGCCTGAATGTATCCTAGCTGACAAATTATTGATTAGTAAGAACTTGAATTTCTGAAAGATTCTTACTGTTAACCAAATTTTGAGCAAGGAGTCTTGAAGGTAATTCTGAACCAGAATTACATGTTAATAAACAATGTACCTTTTAACAATGTAAATCGCAGAATATCAGTGAAGGGATTTCTTAATTTATTTTTTACCTGATGATTGAAATATCAAAGGTTGCCAGCATGGTTGCAGATAAACTAATGTTTGAAATTCACCGAATTACTTAATGTGGAATAATAGGATAATATACTTCCAGTGCCCTCAAGGCTGTGACTTTACGGCCATTTTACATAGCACATCATTCCTCCTATAGGGATGAACTTTTTCCTGGCACGAAAAGTAACCGCTCTGGTTGAAGCTTTGCTTATTGTAACAGGCTTTTATTTCCAGGTAACATGTCTGTGGAAGACTTAATTCTGATTAGAGATATAGATATTACTGGAAACTAATTGTTTTTTTTCCTATTGTACTCTGCTTTATCAAAGAAGTAAAACATTTAAATCGCGCTACAGAAATTAAGATGTTGTCTTGCGATCCTTGAACAATAAATGAATGATTTCCCCTTAATATGGCTGATGTATTTTGTCTCCTGTTATATTGAGTGTTACCGAAGAATAGGGTCATCCAGTGATGAAACCTGTATTTGAACAGCTCCCAACAGTATTAAAGGACCAAATTTCCCTTCTTTAGCTATGATATTAGGAATTGTTTTCTCAGCCAGGTCTGGTGGAGGGTAGGGTTAGTTTATGATCCATTAAGAAGACAAAGCAGCCGGGTATGGTGGCTCACACCTGTAACCCCAGTACTTTGGGAGGCCATGGCAGGTGGATCACTTGAGGTCAGGAGTTCAAGATCAGCCTGGCTAACATGGTGAAACCCCATCTCTACCGAAAATACAAAAAATTAGCCGGGCATGGTGGCGCATACTTGTAATTCTAGCTACTCAGGAGGCTGAGACAGGAGAACCGCTTGAAACCCGGGAGGTGAAGGTTGCAGTGAGCCGACATTGTGCCACTGCACTCCAGCCTAGGCAACAGAGTGAGACTTCATCTCAAAAAAGGAAAAGAGAAAGGCTGTGATCACCAACGCACCCATTCATGCTTGTTCCTCTTTTGCTTATGACCTCTCTGCTTTTATTTATACTTGTTGTTTCAGTCTTCATGTGGACCATTCTTTTCTTGGCTCTTTGGGGGCAAAATTATTTTCCTTCTTGCTGTGTATAGTGGTCAAACTCTGCCACGAGCGTGAAGAAGGAAGATACCAGTGCATGAGGGGTCAGAACACACTGTTTGCCAGTTTTCTCAGAGATATAAGTGAGAGGGACAATGTTTTTCGGTAGCATTTTGCATAATTCCCAACTTCTGTTGGTTGTACCCTTAAAGCCCTAATGTGGATTGGTGTTTGTTTCCTAAAAGATTACTATGGGAAGAAAGGTGTCCAGTAGCCTACTCAAAAGTTTTTACTCCTATCCGCTTCTGTTGAAGAATCTGCATTATTTCCAGTCTACTTTAGCTCCTCCTGCCTTCAGTCTAAAGGAGTTGCTTGCACACCTGGAGTAAATGTGTGTAATTTCTGAACTGCCCGTTTTAAGATTTGATTCTAATCCTAACTCACTCTTACTTGACCAATATGCCTCTCAATTATAGCTAACATTTTGGTTCTTTGCCCAAACCTCTGAGGCACATTATGTAATCCCTATTTTTATAAAGAGGCTTGTAGAGGTTAATTTGCAACTTTATTGTAAAGAGAGTAATAAGCCCCCTTCACCCAATTCCCTATCAACTGAGAAAGTGACTGTATTTAGGTAGGCAATCCAGTGCTTAAGAGCAAGCTTTGGAACTGGAGTTAGAGTTTGAATCTCAGCTCTGCCACTTTTTTCTTTCTTTTTTTTTTTGAGACAGTTTCGCCGTGTCACCCAGGCTGGAGTGCAATGGCACAATCTCGGCTTACTGCAACCTTCGCCTCCTGGGTTCAAGCTATTCTCCTGCCTCAGCCTCTTGAGTAGCTGAGATTACAGGTGCGCACCACCACGCCTGGCTAATGTTTTGTATCTTTAGTAGAGACGGAGTTTCTCCATGTTGGTCAGGCTGGTCTTTAACTCCTGACCTTGTGATCCGCCCACTTTGGCCTCCCAAAGTGCTGGGATTACAGGCGTGAGCCACCATGCCCTGCCACCTCTGCCACTTTCTAGCTGTGTGACCTCAGTGAAATGAGAGCGCTAAGAATTGCCTACTTTTTAAAATGTCGTAAGAATTAAATAATAAAACACTTGGAACAACGCCTAGCACAAAATAATATCAAATGCAGGGACATTTTCTTTGTATTCTATTAGCCAAAGGGTTACATTATAAAATGTACGGATGTTCGCTGGAGAAACTGGTACAATCTAGAAAGCGCTGCTTCCCTCCATTTGTTTTTCTTGGTGTGTATGGAGTGAGTGCCAAAAAGTCTCAAGTAACCAACCCTTTTTTATCTCCAGGGTTCAGAGGGTTCTGGAAGTAAACACCACAGTTCACCGTTGCCAGGCTGTGTTGAGTTGCTGCCTTGGTCTTATCTAGGGGTCTAGGCCTTCTCCACAACGCCCGCCCTGGCTCCTGCTCCCTTTGCCCTTCCCGCCTGCACCCCACTCCCCGCCGCCACGCCCCACCCCATGCTTGGATAACAGACTTACAGGTCTGGATAATTAAAGCAGAGGACAAGGCTAGCTTATTCGATAGGATGAAACTTGGTTAGGAAGGATTTGACATGGCTTCTCCTCATCGCTCAGAAGGTTATTAGGGACTTTTAATCACAGAATTGGCCTCGGGTGCCCACACTCTGTATCAAAATGGCACTTCGGGACAAATAACATCCGTGAGAGGGGGAAGTGATAGACCTGATTCTGGAAGGATTACGGCTAGGCGCCAAGTTGCAAAGTTGAAATTTGCCTCGTGACCACACTGTGATAGGTGGGTACGGGGGAGCGCGGGCGGGTACACGTCACTTCTTACCGCCCCCTAGGTCTGGGCACTATAAAAGGGCCTGCACCTCACGTTCGTCGCAGTTGCTCGGGATTTTTGCACACCACGGAAGCTGGAGGTGAGCTGTGCTGGCCACGCCAGAGGCTGCAACAGCTGGTAGGTGACCGACTGGTCGGACTGAGACGGGTGCTGAAGCGGTCCAGAAGCTAGTCCTAATTGAGCAACTTAATTAAAATGAGGACCACAGGACCACTGTATTCCTTGGACTGTGATTTTCCGTGGACCTTGGTATTTGGCCTGTGGACCAAAAGAAATGTTTTGCCTGTTTCCATATACAAAGGCCTTTGGAAGAAATTTATTCTGTTTATATTTATTTCTGTTAAATTTATAGTGACTTATTCTGTTTCGGAGACCATGGGAATGGCGGAGGCAGAGACCTTGGTGGGGCTATCTTGGTGTGCGAGTGGAGATGACACGGGGGAGCTGAGGTTGGGGGGGATAGTCTAGGCCCTAGCGGTGGGTGGAAGAATCACTGGCAGCTTGCGGTGGGAGTAGGGGAAGGAAGCCTGGGGTTGGAATAGGTGTGCAGAGTGTAGGACTGAGCAGTGGAAGATCCGGTGGAATGAGATGGGAGTAGGGGAAGTGGCACCGTGGGGAGAAGTGGAGGCGCTAGTGGCGGCATTGGGAAAAGTGGGGGTGCTAGTGGCAGCAGTGGGGGAGGTGGGGACGCCGGTGGTGGTGTAGGAGCATGCGGTGATGCCAGTGGCAGTGTTGAGAGAAGTGGGGGTGCCGGTGGTGGCATAGGAGCAGATGGTGGTGCCAGTGGTGGATGGGGAGAAGTGGGGGCACCAGTGGCGGCGTGGGGGAGAAGTGGGGGCGTGGGGAGAAGTGGGGGCATCGGTATCAGTGTTGGGGGAAGTGGGGGTGCTGGTGGTGGTGTGGGAGCACGTGGTGGCAGCAATGGCGGCATGAGAAATGAGGTTGCCAGTAGCAGCATTGGGGGAGGTGGTATAGCTGATGGCGGCATAGGAGCACGTGGTGGCAGCAATGGCGGCATGGGGAGAGGTGGGGGGGCCAGTGGCGGCATTGGGGGAGGTGTCTGTGCTGATGGCGGCATGGGAGCATGTGGTAGCAGCAATGGCAGTGTGGGAAGGGGGGGCGCGAGTGGCGGCATTGGGGGAGGTGGTGGAGCTGATGGTGGCATGGGAGCACACGGTGGCACCAATGGCAGCGTGGGGAGAAGTGTGGGGGTCACCACGCCATTGGCGGCATTGGAGGTGGTGGAGCTGATGTCGGCATGGGAGGATGTGGTGGCAGCAATGGCTGCGTGGGGAGAGGTGGGGGGGCCAGTGGCGGCATTGGGGGAGGTGTCTGCGAGGCATGGGAGCATGTGGTGGCAGCAATGGCAGCCTGGGGAGAAGTTGGGGGGGCAGTGGCATTGGGGGAGGTGGTGGAGCCGATGGTGGCATGGGAGCATGTGGTGGCAGCAATGGCAGTGTGGGGAGAAGTGGGGGGGGTGCTACGCCATTGGCAGCATTGGGGGAGGTGGTGGAGCTGATGGTGGCATGGGAGCACGTGGTGGTGGCAATGGTGGTGCGGGGAGAAGTTTTTGGGGCGCCGGTGGCGGCATTGGGGGAGGTGGTGACACTGGTGGCGGCATGGGAGCACATGGCAGCAATGGCGGTGTGGGGAGAAGTGGGGGGCTGGTCGGCATAGGGGGAGGTGGTGGCACTGGTGGCGTAGGAGGTTTGGCGGCCCTAGTGGAGGCGTGGGGAGAAGTGGGGGTGCCTGTGGCCACATTGGGGGAAGTTGGGGTTCCAGTGGCTGTGTAGGAGTATGTGGTGGTTTCGGTAGTAGAGTAGGAGCACATGGTGGCGGTGGAAGTGGAATAGGAGCACGTGGTGAAGCGGCCATGTTGTGGCGGAGAAAGAAAATGCGGCAGCAGAAGGGCGCAGGAACACGCGGCGGCGGAAGCTGCGGCGGCGGTGGAAGCGGAAATGTGGCGGCGGCGGAAGTGGAAATATGGCAGCGGCAGCAGCAGCGTCGTAGGAGCATGTGGTGTTGCTGGTGGGCGTGGGGAGAAGTGGGGACCCGGTGGCAGCACTGGGGGTGCCAGTGGCGGTTTAGGAGCAGATGGGGACACCAGTGGTAGTGTTGGGGGAGGTGGAGGGGCCAGTGGCAGCCATGGGGGTGGAGGGAGCAAGTGGTTGTGGGTAGGGGTGTGTGAGGCGGGGGTCGAGGTCTGAGTGTTGGTGGGAGACCAGAAGTTGGATACAGGTGTGGGGGCAGTGGAAGACTGGTTGGAAGCTGTTGAAGGTGGCTGGAGGTGGTTGGAGGTGCAAGTGTCGGGGAAGGGTGGTGGGGGTTGAGGCCTGATTGGTGGAAGACTAGATGAGCATGGTGGGGGTACGGTCCAGACCTGATAGGAGGTGGAGGGAGTCGGGGAGGGGTCAAGGCCTGATTGGTGGAAGATTGGCTGGAGGCAGGAATCTTCCTGCGGAGGGCCTGGCTGGGTTCTGGTAAGACCAGTGAGAAGCCAGAGTGGTGGGAGTGAGGGGGCGGTAGAGGTTGTATAGAAGGGTGAGGGGTGGTGGTAGCCTGGTCTGGGTAAGACTGACCGAGTCGGGAGTAAGGAGGTGTGGGGGAAGGCGGGAGCAGTTGATACCTGGTAGGTGGCAGACTTCCTTGGGGCAGGAGTAAGGGGACTGAAGGTGTAGGGAGGTGGAAGGTCAGTGGGATGTGGGTGTGGTGGAAGCCTGATAGGTGGAAGCCAGGCTGGCAAGTTGAGGTGGGAGTGGAGGGCGGCGGGAAGGGATTGGGGTGGTTAAGGCCTGAGTGGGAAAGGTTTGCAACAAAACAAATTTAAATGCTTATTATTTTGCAGAGCAAAGTTTCGGCTTTAAATTAGGGTGGGGAAGACGCGCAAAGATAACTGCAGATTGTAGAGATGTGTCTGGTTTTGAGTTCTGGTTTTCTTAAAGTATATCTTTGTCTGTCCTACAGACATGGACCGGTATAAAGAAGAGCTGCGCTGCTTGGACGACCCGATGGAGGACCAGGATTGGTGAGATTGGAAAGTTCTGTTTTCTTTTAGTTTAGTCTTACCGTATTGGCAAAACAGCTTTCTCGAGAAGTATGTTTATTTCCTTTAGTGTCTGTGGAACATATAACTTGGTTTGTCATAAAATGAGAATTGTAAAGAAGGATTTTACAATCTGGGAGTCCAGCCTCCTGTGAAATTGATGAATCCGCTGTATAACTTCTCTGCTGGTGTCCAGGAAATGACATCTGAGGCAACAGTGCATCTTGAATATATGTGGTTTCTAGAAAGTTCTTCATTCTGGTGCAGTTCAAATCTGTAGTTCCACGCCAGTGTCGGTAGTGCTGCCCTCTAGAGGTACACAAATTATTTTTCCTCTCCATGATAACACAAGATGTTTTTGTTTTTAATTTTTTTATCGAGATGCACCCTGAACCACGAAAGGTTCAGAGAGCTTCCAACATGCGGTATCTGTGTGTATGTGTGAGACAGGGTCTGCTCTGTCGCCCAGCTTAGAGTGCAGTGGTGTGATCAGGAGCTATTTTAAGATAGCTGCCTAAGTTTTTTCTCTTCTGGAACGCTACCCTGTTTTCCTCCCTCACAGATACGCATGTAAGAGTGTAATATGGGAGAAGGTACAAATCAACAGAAAGTCTGGAAATAGACCTAAGTACATACGAAAATTTACTAAAGAAAAACAACATTTCAAATCAATGGGGAAAATATGGATTGGTCAACAAACCATTTGAGGATAATTGGCAAACCATTTGGAAAAAATAAGACTTGGGTTTTTGCCTTACTAGTTCTTATGCCAGTATAAATTTCACATGGATCAAATATTTTATTTTTTATTTATTTTTATTTATTTATTTATTTATTTATTTATTTTTTGCCAATCAGTGTGGGCTTGTAAGGTTGCTCAGGTTAGCCTTGAACTCATGACCTTGCCTTTGCAAGTGCCATGACATCCGGCGGGAGCCACTTTGGACCCCGGATCAAATATTTTAAAATAAAAAATGAAACCATTAAAATGTTAGAAACATAGATGTATTTTGTTTCCAATAGTTTTGGAGTAGAAAGGTTTAAGTTTGGTATTAAACAAAATATAAATATGGAGAATAAACTGGAAAAATATTTGTATTACATATATAAAGGGCCATTGAACAAAGGGCTTTTATAAATGAGTAATTTAGAAAAAGGTGAACAAACACATGGAACATGACAAAGAATATTAGAAGGTAGCTATCAAGGAAACAAAATACAAATGGCCTTCAGACATTAAAATTTATTCAGCTTTGCCCCGGCTCGGCGGCTCAGGCCCGTAATCCCAGCACTTTGGGAGGCAGAGGCGGGTGGATCGCTTGAGTCCAGGAGTTTGAGACCAGCCTGGGCAACATAGTGAAACTCTGCCTCTACAAAAAATAAAAAAAATGAGCTGGGCATGGTGGCTACACCTGTAGTCCCCCCTACTCAAGAGGCCAAGGTGGGAAGCTGCAGTTAGCCAAGAGCGTACCACTGCATTCCAGCCTTGGCAACCCGACTGGAGACTCTGTCTCAAAAAAAAAAAAAAAAAAAAAAAAGCTGGGCGCGGTGGCTCACACCTGTAATCCCAGCACTTTGGGAGGCTGAGGCAGGCAGATCACAAGGTCAGGAGATAGAGACTGAGACCATCCGGGCTACACAGTGAAACCTGGTCTCTACTAAAAATATACAGGCTAGGGGGGTTCAAACCTGTAGTCCCAGAACTTTGGGAGGCTGAAGTGGGTGGATCTTGAGGTCAGGAGTTAAGAACAATCTGGCCAAAATGATGAAACCCCATCTCTACTAAAATTACAAAAATTAACTGGGCGTGGTGGCGGGTGCCTGTAATCCCAGCTACTTAGGAGGCTGAGGCAGAGAATTGCTTGAATCCAGGAGGTGGAAGTTGCAGTGAACCGAGATTGCGCCATTGTACTATATAGCCTGGGTGACAGAGGGAGACTCCATCTCAAAAAAAAAAAATCAGCTTTTAATTATATTGCTTCTCATTAAACAAATAATTTTAATTATATTGCTTCTCATTAAATAAATGATAAATCTTATTTTCTTGTTCTCCCACTTGGAAAAGTAAAGAAATGATAAATTTAAAAATGAGATTTCATTTTTTATAAATTTGCAAAACGTTTGATGATTCCCAGCGTTGGCAAATTTGTGGGAAAACAGAAAATCTCCTACGCTCTTTGTGAGAGTATATATTTGGTACAACCTTATTGTAGGGCAGTCTGGCAGTATCACATTTAAATGCCCATGTCCTTTGAAGTAGCAGTTACACTACTGAGACTTTTTGTTTTAAAGCTATTTTATTCAATTTCTTTATATTTGTACTCCCATATACATTATTATATAAAGGTGATTATATCATACATGTAATTCAGTAATTGTAATTCAGTCTTACTTTTTCTTGACTTTTTTCTCCCCCTTCTCCCATGGCTTTTCTTCCTGCAACCCATGCTAAATATTTGTGTAGCTAGCCTTAAATACTTTTCTCCATGTTCACGTAATCATATATAGAGATTTACAGGTTATTTTGATATTTATTCACTTTTGTGGAAGGAGTACATACCAGTACATAGAGAAATATGTATAAGAACATTCATTGCAGCACTGTTTGTGAAAGCACAAATTTGAAAAGAGCTAAAATGTCCTAAGTGTCTAGTTGAATAAATTATGATTCATTTCAAAAATGTGGTGAGAGCTATATGTACTGATAATGGAAAGACACTAAGAAATATAAAGTGAAAAATGCAAGCTGCGGAACAATCCATGTAGCATAATATTTGTAAAAAGAAAAAAGGGTATGTGTACTTGTTCTGATGTGTACTTACACTTAACTTTCTAAAGGGATAAATAATATGCATTGTCTCTGGGAAGAACAAAGGCAGAGTGCTTCTCAAGGCTCTTTTCAGAGTTTTTTATCAGTTAGGAAAAAAGCTACCTGGTAAACATTATTTTGCCATAGTCATTAAAAGTGGGGGTGGGGGATGGGGTGGCTCATGCCTGTAATCCTAGCACTTTGGGAGGCTGAGGCAGGAGGAATGCTGGAGCTTATGAGTTTGAGACCAGCCTGGGCCATTGTAGCATGACCTTGTCTCTTTTTTTGTTTAAAAAAAAGGGGGTGGGATGGGGTAGAGGGTATCAGCAAAAGAATGAAGCCAGCATTGGAAAATATACGTCTTAACAAGTAATAAAAAGGAATGCTAATTTAAAAATCATTTACCTGTTACTAAATTTAAAATATTTAATGCCATTGTAGTAATGCTGCTGACATCATAAACTGGCACAAGCCTTTGGAAATGATTAAGCAGATGTACCAAGAGCTATAAAATTGGTTTAGGTTTTTTTTTCCAGACAGAGTCTTGCTCTGTTGCCAAGGTTGGAGTGCAGTGGTGCAATCTTGGCTCACTGCAGCCTCTGCTTCCTGGGTTCAAGCAGTTTTCCTGCCTCAGCCTCCTGAGTAGCTGGGGTTATAGGCACATGCCACCATGCTTGGCTAATTTTTTTTTTTGTATTTTTAGTAGAGATGGGATTTCACCGTGTTGGCCAGGCTGATCCTGACCTCCTTGGCTTCAAGTGATCCACCCGCCTTGGCTTCCCAAAGTGCTGGGATTACAGGCGCGTGCCGCCATGCGCAGCTTATTTATTTATTTTTTGTATTTTTAGTAGAGATGGGGTTTCACCATGTTGGCCAGGCTGGTCTTAAACTCCTGGCCTCAAGTGATCAACCTGCCTCAGCTTCCCAAAGTGCTGGGATCACAGGTGTGAGCCACTGTGCGCAGCCGGACATACTTTTGATTGAGTAATTTGATTTTTGGCAACCAAGCATAGGAAAATACAGTTTATGAAGCCAATTAAATGGCCAAAGGTGCTTTTTGTAAGATTTAATTTTGTTTTTGTTGTTTGAGACAGCATTACTTTGTCACCCAGTCTGGAGTATTACTCTGTCACTCGGGCTGGAGTGCAGTGGCATGATCATGACTCTCTGCAACCTTTGCCCTCTGGTCTTAAGCAATCCTCCCACCTCAGCCTCCAGAGTAGCTGGGACTACAGATGTGCCATCACGCCCGGCTAATTTTTGTGTTTTATTGTAGAGACGGGGTTTTGCTGCCAGGTTGCCCAGGCTGGTCTCGAACTGCAGACTCAAAGCGATCTGTCTGCCTTAGCCTCCCAAAGTGCTGGGATTACAGGCATGACTGCTGCACTTGGCCTTGTAGCATTTAATTTAATAAATTAATACTATGTGTGTGATCAAAAATGCAAAAGATGGCCAAGCTCAGTGGCTCACACCTGTAATCCTGGCATTTTGGGAGGCTGAGGTGGGCAGATGGCTTGAGTCCAATAGTTTGAGACCAGCCTGGCTAACATGGTGAAAAACCCTGTCTCTATGAAAAAAAAAATACAAAAATTAGCCAGACAAAATGGTATAGACCTGTAGTCTCACCTACATAGAGGCTGAGGCGGGAGAATTGCTTGAACCCAGGAGGTGGAGGTTGCAGTGAGTCAAGGCACTCCAGCCTGGGTGATGGGAGTGAAACCCTGTCTCAAAAAAAAAAAAGCAGAAGGATCAAATTGCAGCTCTATGACCCTCAGTCACTTGCCCTCAAATAGGGAGTGCCCAGGGTGGATCGTTAGTCTCAGTTGTCCTGAGAGGTAAATGGGTTATGTTTTTTATTAGCCCCTTGTGAATTTGGTTGACAGGAGTAATGCCTTTAGCATTTGATGAATTGATAAATATGAGTTTCTAAAGCTACAAGTACAAAGAGCAGATCCTGGGCTTCTGGTTGGAGATAGCTCTTGAGGTCAGACACCAACCTGCCAGTCTCTAACCCATGTTAAGCTCCAAATTGGGACTGTTACCTCCCTTGATCTGGGCATTGTATTTTCATTAATGAAGATAAGATTGTTAGCTTTTTTGTGTTTTACTTTGGGCTGACCCTTTTATAGATGGGCATATATATGTAATTGCATTTTTTTTTTTTTAAGTTGGA